GATCCATGAATCAAAGCTGGCAGGGTATCTGACTATCTCACCAACACTTCATCTTTTTGGCGGCGTCGTGCGTTTCAGGACCCTGATCCACTGTGTACACATCATCCGTTTTCTGAATGGGTTTGCAGTTCTTGCGGGTAAAAGGTGCCTTGCAGCACTTCTCCATGATCATCTTTCACTTGGTAGACAGGAGGAACAGCCCTTTCACCACTTTCGATCCACGGTGAACAGTTCGATTGGTCCAGTTGGGAAGGTACCCTTTGTCAAAGCGTGCCCTTGGTCTTGTTCAAAGCGGACCGCGGGTCGGGTAACAAGAGAGGGTACTTCTTCTTCTTCTTCTTTGTCTTGAGTTGGCTGCTTCAGCTTCTTCTGTGGATTCCATGTGATCCAACACCCGAATTTCATCGTAGGGGCGTTAGGGCGTACATCCGCGAGCGTTGTCCAATGTCGATGCGATGGGGCGATGATGATTAATAGGAATGCAACAGTTGGGGTAATGCCTTCAGGTAGTGGTGTGTCCCTTGTTGGGTGAAATACCGCCACATACGATTTTCAACGTCCTTTGAAAACGTTCCACCACAGAGGCTTTGGTTTCTGGGTTTTGACTGGTGTAGAAATGAATACCCGTTTCTTGAGGAAGGCTTGAAAGGGGCATTGACAAATTCAGTCCCTTTGTCTGTCTGTAACTGGGATGGCACGTCCTTTGGCTTGTTTCACGATCGTTGAAAGGCCTCTATCAAAGTGGCACCGGTCTTGGCTTTCATGGGCTGCACCCAGGCCATTTTGGAGAAAACATCGATGGCGCACAGCAAATACCGGTTGCCTTGGTTCTCTTTCTGATCTCGCGCCAAGGAGATCGGCTCAGATCGGCTTGCCACAATTCATCCACGCCACCCACACGGTAATGATCCCTGGGAAACGAGCGCGCCGGGCTGGTTTGTGCAAGGTGTATGCGTGTCCTGGGTTTTCAACCATTGCCGCACCTGGCGTTGGGTGGGCCTTGGCCCCGTTTTGCTTCCCCCCTTCTTGGGACCCCCATTCCTGGGTCCCCCCTTCTTGGGTCCTGCTTTGGCTTGATGTCCTGCTTTGGCTTGATGTCCTGCTTTGGCTTGATGTCCTGCTGCTTGCCACAAGGCAAGCCACCCTCCATAGCCTGCTGGGTGTTTGGGATCGTAATAGGTGTGGTGGAGCCATCGTGTCCATGCAGGTGACAAAGACGATGATGATGATGCTTTGCCGATGTTGTTGTTGTTTCTCTTTGGACGTCTCATGATGACACTGTCGTTGACATCACTCTCTGCTCCCTTTTATTAAAAGTGAATCCACTGACGAACCCGGTTGAGAGGGGAGGAGGGGGTCTCTACAGCTTTTTTCTTCTTCTGGGGTTCCAGAGGAAGGTTGGATGCAGGGGGTGTCAAAAACAAGTCAGCGGGTGGAGGGTGTGGACGCTTCACGGGGGTGTCAGGAGGAGGCTGGGTGGATGACCCTTTGGTTTTCATCATCCAGGACCAACGTAGAGGTTACCAATCAGTTCATGGGGTACATTGCTGGAAGCGAGATACTGACCCAGAATATTCCAACCCCGTGGAGGGCCTAATTTGGTACGTTGTCGAACAAGATCATTGATGAGATCCACCATGTGCGTCCCAGGCATGGGTTCCCCTTCCACCACGAATTGACCCGCCTCATTCCAACCCAAGTCGGGATGAGCACGAATACGGGCCATCAACTGCCTGGCCTTGGTCTGTAGCGTTTTGGGAACCGTTGCGACTTCATTCAGAATGGCCCGACATCGCCGGGTTCTGAAACAAAAAGAACAAACAAACCATGAGCCACTGCTCTACGACCGGCTACGCGGACTCCTTCTTAGGAAGGCGACCTCTGCGCGGGACGAACACGAGTGTGACTCAGTAAGTAAACCGTACTTACGGTGAGGAGATCCAGTCCTGGGGGTGTCCGTCCTGGGGGTGCCCGTCCTGGGGGTGCCCGTGGCTTCTAAAGGTCGTGGTTTGACAGCGGCTCGGTCTTGAAACGCCAAGGTGTGTTGCAACAAGGTGTTATACTGCTGCTCTCGGTCCCTAAAAGGAACCGTGTCATCACGGACGAGGGTATCCATATCGTGAAGCGTGTGCACGCGTTTCTGTTCCAACAGGTTGGACTTGAGCAAATGTCGTTGACGTTTTTCTTCTTGCAGACTTTGCCATACCTCTTCTGGGACCATCACCATCTTCCGTGCATGCTTCATCTTGGTGGTAGGACGGTGCAGATGCAACTAACCCCAATCTAGGATGTGTCCTCTATTTATGATCTTCCTTGAGGATCTTCCTTGAGGATCTTCCTTGAGGATCATCTACCCAACAGGCCAGACACCAAGGGACCCACCACCGATGCCAAGGCAGACAAGAGACCTAATCCCCTTCCTTTCTGCTGTAAAGTTGACGTTTCTTGGACACAGACACCTTCTTTTTCATCAACGTATGCATCAGTGACCCATGCTTTTGTAAACGTTGACGTTGCTGTGCTGTCATAGGAATGTTGCCTCCATACAAATTCCTGCGCATTCACAGATGGCTTGAATCAGTTCCGATGGGGCCTGTTTCAAAATAGCCTGTCGCATGGCTGGTGTCGCAGAAGGACTACACACATGACAGAAGCTTCTTTGTGGCGCTTCAAGCGTGCCGGCGTGATGATGGTGTCGTCCCTGCAGCTGCTACCATTGAACTGACCAGGATGGGGTGGGAGGCCTCTATTTATGGTAATGTCGCTGGAGGAGAGTGGGGTAATGCCGTTGTGGTCTTCTTCTTCTTTTGACCGTAACACCATCGGGTCAAAGGCTGCACCTGGGGCTGAGGGTGAAGTGACCCTTTTCTTCTTTTGCTTCTTGTTCTCTTGTCGGGTTGGTGACTTGCGGCGCTGGGGTTGCTTAGGGAGGGCGCGGCGGCAGGTGCTGAGGGCTTCTGCTGTTTTTCCTGTAGGTAGGACTGCCAGTTCAGCAAGATACGGGTCAACACACCAGCCAACGTACCACTTCCACTGCGTTTCATCAGGTAACTCAGGCGTTCATCCATAGGTAGTCGTGGATTCGCAATCTTGGTCAGCATGTCTTGGTGTCTCAACATCCAGGTCTTGTGCTGCGTCTTCAAAGGAACCGTCCTGCTCGCAGATTTCTCCGCGGCAATGACAAACCATTGCAACAGCCGATGGCGTCCTTTGACAGCCACGCTCTCTGCCGAAGGAGTCGTTTCTTCTTCACGCGATGATGGGTTTGACTTTTCTGCGGGCGGGCATGCTTCTGTGGCTTCGCTTTAAGCGTGGGGTGCCGGGCTGGGGCGTTTAGCACCTGTGGCGTTTCTTGCTGGTGCGTTTGGTGCTGGTGAGTGCGCCCGTTGGGTCAAGGGTTGAAAGGGTTGGATCATGGTGGGAGAGGGGAGACGATGGGAATGAAGGGGAGAGGCCGGAAAGAAGAAGGGAGAAGGCAGCAGGAGAGGCACGTCACGTACTGACAGGGACAAATGTGTTGTTCATGGTGGGGGCTGTAGGGGTACAACTGCTTTAAAGGAACGCCTTTGTTTGGAGGAGGAGGAAGCAGAGGGAGGAGGTGGAGCACTTAGACTTTCGTTACAACCGTTGCACACCGACCCGATGTTGTTCGGTGGGATCACGACCCAAGGTGGTCAGGAGTGTTTTATGGATCGGTTTAAACAACCCTGTGGCAACAGCACGTTTCGCGGGGGCCGGGTCTGTTTCCGTCTGTCTCCCATGGCAGCTCTGGGTCAACTGGCGTAGGGTAGGCGATCATCTCTATTTATCACGACTTGGGAATGTAAAGGATGGTGGGATTCACGAAAGAGATGGGACCGTTACCGCGGTGCTCTTTGGCGTGGTCGGTTTCAAGTCCAGAAACAAATAGGAATAAGGAGCCAAAGTGGCATCCTCATAGGCTTCGAAGGAAGGCCGTCTGTCCTGGAAAGATTTGTCTGGCCAAGTGATCCATTTCGCGGCGTCCCTCGGGTTTTAAACAGCACCATGTAGTGGGCATTTAAACTAATGGTGCGATGATGAGGCGATGAAGCAAAGAGGTTTTATACGTCAAGTACAACAACGGGCGTGTTGTTCGATGATGACTTTTCTTGGTAAACCATCGCCAGAACCCGGCTTCTTCCTCTTTGGTATTGTGGCCCAGCAAATCATCAATGATCAACCAATGGGGCGTAGGCAAACCCTTCTCGGTCTTAGCCCCAGACCCTGCAGGTAACTGCGTGTTGGCTTCCCCCATGACAAACGTCAGGGGTATCCCTAACCTCGAAGTCAGAACTTCCAAGTCCTCATACATGGGTTGCCATTCACTGTACACCCACACGATGCCCTGAGGTGGAAGATCAAGGATCCCCGGTTGAAACACATGTTCCATGAAGGCTTTGACAAACGATGTTTTACCTGACCCTGTAGGGCCTGCAATTAACATGGTAAAGGGATGACGTAACGTGAGTGGGGTGACCGTGGCCTCCACCAGGTCTGAGTCTAACACTGTCCCTGATAGTGTCCCTGACATACTGACACACGTCTTACCACCCTGCGGGTTGCACCGGAAATGACCTCTAAGAGCTAAGATCCCTGAAGATATAGAAGACACAACCCTTTGAAAATGGAATTTACATTTTATTGAGGAACAACATCAACATGGCAAACAGATCAACAATAATGATGCATTAACAGATCAACAACAACAGGTCATCCACAGATCACCACCAGTTCAGGTGATCATTGGGATTGCAAGTAGAACACCGTAAAAAGTCCGTTTGACCGGGATGAAAATGGTTTTCATCGTTAAACATGGGAATGTCGGCAAAAGTCTCTGGCTCCTCCTCTGGAGCCGTCACTGAAGCCATCACCAGATCCGTCTCTGGAGACGTCACTGAAGTCGTCTCTGGAGCCCTCTCTGGAGTTGTCTGCTCTGCTTCCATGGTGACAGCCATCGGGAGTAGATCATACAAGTCTTGAAGATCTGGAGGTAACTCTGCCGCGGGGGGATCTCTTGGGGGCTAACAGGACTGATCCCTTGACCCTTCTTGCTCTCCCACAAGTCAGTCATCTCCAACTGTTTCTTTGGAGTCTGGGGTGCTTTGAGACTCTTAGGCTTTGGAGGTGCCTTCTTGGTGAGTGTCTTGGGAGGGGACGTCTTCTTGGTGACTGTCTTGGTGGGGGCCTCCTCCTTCTTCTTCTGTTTCTTTGGAGAAGTCGTGGCCAGGGTCCCCCTGGGGAGGTGACGTCATCTTGGTGGGTGCCTTGGGAAGGGGTGGGGTGGAGACCTTCTTCTTCTTCTTTGGAGAAGTCTTGGCAGGCGTGGTCTTGGGAGGTATTCTTTTTCGAGGCACGGGCTTGGGCGTCATGTCGGTGACCTCTGGATCATTGGAGAACAAAGGTAGAGTGCAGGTGGCATATCGAAGACTATAGCTGGGTGGGTGAGGCCAGAGTTTCACCTGGAGTTTGGCCAGCAGCTTGCTGTACAGCACACCATGGTCATAGCTCATAGGACGCCCATTCCTCAACTTGAACACGATGTGGAACAGCTTGTTGAGGAAGGTCACCCCTGCATTTTCCTTGGCATAAGCATCGTTGATACCGATGAGGATCAGCGAGGACCACGATCTGTTGGCTGTCGGAGAGGATACGCAAGTGGTCTTGGTGATACGCCATCCAGTAATAGTCTTCCTCAGTCAACTCACAGAAGCGACCCATCATGCCATACAGTGTTTCTCTTTTCGGCTGAATATCTGCCAGCTTACTGCGGATGATCGACGGCAACTTTTGTTCCATCACACGCCAACCGGTCCTGGAGATCCATGTAGTTGGTCTTGTATAACTGGCTTTGAGTCATCATGGTGTTGTGGAGATGGGCCATGTCAGAAGCAAGGTCCTTTGCCTGCGAAGCCAAGTTGACGAAGGAAGAAGGGAGGTTGCCTGGAGATGCCATCTTCAGCGACTGAACTGATGCAACTGATGACCCGCTCAATCGATCCTGCGTTTTTATAGGCAGCACCAGCAGCGCTGAGCTATGACGTCACTTCAAATGGCGTCACTTCAAATGACGTCCGCGATCGTGTTGTTTCTGGATGGCCTCTTGCGCGGCTTTTCTAAACTGTTCTATAAAGTGTCTCTCTTCGAGATAGGTGGCAAGCACAAAGAGCAGCGTGAACAGCATGATGACGAATCCGCGATGGGGTCAGAGTCTTTTATAGAGATACACAGGATGACGTCACGTGGCGCGTGCATGGATGACGTCACGTGGCGCGTGCATGGATGACGTCATTGGAGTTGGTCCATGGATGGCGTCACTCACAACAACAACAGCGTGTCACGAAGATGCATGGCGCTTTTCCCAACTTGTTTTTCCCGACCATGTCCAGGGTTTGTCAATATTCGGATGAGATACACCCATTCCTATTCCCCATCTTTGATCGTAGGGGCTAGCTTCAGCTAACGACTTTGGGTAGGATTGAATCAATCTCTGTTTCAAGTCCTTGTTCTGGGAAAATTTAGCGTGATCGCCTTGGTCATCACCTCAAGACTGACCGTGTCCCACACTGTTTGAGTAAAGCCTTTCACACATCGCCCCAGACGTTTTGCTTTGCTGGAACAGCCTCTTGCAGAATCTGGCGTCGCACTGTCCAAATCTCCAAAGTACATGGCTTTAGAGTACATGTAACACTGTTCAACACAATTAAATGTAACACCATCCAAGGTAAACACTGCTGGATGAAAGTTGCTGAACGGTGACTGGATTCCATAGAAGAATAACCAGGGGAGTGTCACTTGTGACTGTGCCTTGTCCGTGGGAGTCTTGAGACCCAGCAAGATCATGGCTTCTGTTTCTCCACATTCCTCCAAAGCTTTGCAGAAGAGGGAGTAAGCTTGGGGTCCACGTCGGGGAAGCATGTCTAACAATTCTCTGACACGGTCAAAGGAGGTCCGAGGTTTTTCGATAATCTCTGCCTTCATGAGGATGGTCAGGACTTTAAACGTCATCAGTTTGTCGACCACGGCTTCGACCTGCTTGATAGCGAGCACGCGAGACCACAACGATTCTCCCTAAGCCTATCGCGGTGAACGGGTTCCATCCTTCTCTTTTCTTAGACAACAGAATCTGTAATGACTCTGACAGAAACGTCTCTTTATATATACACACAGGGTCGTGATGACGTCATAGGGTGTGTGACGTCAAACTAGAAAGGAAAAAATTGTCGTTAGCAGAGCGTGGTTTCGATCCACGGGCCTCTGGGTGATGAGCCCAGCACGCTTCCACTGCGCCACTCTGCTCTCCCTTCCCTTTTTTTGTGACAGTACCTATGACATGGTAAACGTGACCATGGCCTCCACCAGGTCTGAGTCTAAGAACAGGGTACAACAGGATTGAGGGTGACCATGGACTCCACCAGGTCTGGCCCTGAAGAGAGAGAGAGACGACATAACACAAGAGTACAATACAATTACAATTTATTGAATGATAGAACAACAAATGAACAAGGCAATCACATTTTATGGGTTAAACATCAATCGATCAGAGCATGTCTACATCAAAAGTCCATGGGAGGGATGGGTTCACTCTTTATAGCCATAGGGAGAGTTTCCTGGGGACGCCTTGGGGTCGTACTGCACTCGGCGTTTGGTGTAGACCAAGCGATAGGTTTTGGTGGTGTCCTTGGACAGCAACACGTTGCCCTGACGAAGTCCTCCGCGAATGATGCGGTGTGGGTACGGGACCGTGATGATGGCTTGATCCCTCTGACAGACGAGGTTCTTCATGCTGTCAAAGTGGACATGCTGGCTCGCCCTGTGATTTAAAGTAAATCCTCGGACCTTGCTGATGCCCACACTGCCGTCAGATTGAGGATGGCGCAGCTTGTAGCCATAATTCTTGGGTCCTGCCGAGACAAAGGTTTGAATGCTGTTGCCCCCTCCCAGTTCATCAGTCAGCTCCCCCAAGGTATCTCCCAGTGGCGGGTTGTAACTTCGTGGACGGTGAATGTAAATGATACTGTCCGTATCAAAATAGAGGACACGTCGATCCAACGGTTGCAAATAAGAATACAACTTGAGACGGGCTTGTGCTGTCACCCAGGCTGCAATGGCCACATTGTGGGCTGGATGAGGGTCGTGAAAGTCTGCCTGAGGTTCATGAGTGACACAGATGAGGTCTTCATTGATGATGTTAATGTCTTTCACCACACGACGCTCATCCCGGAGGAGGGCAAAGTACCTCTCAGGGGAACTGATATATTCCGTCTTGGCAAACCCAACGCGTTGACCAAACTTGCCCCAGTGATTGTTCAGGCAGGCCTTGGCTAAGGCACGTAGTCCTGGGTTTTTGTGAATGCGAGCAGGATCCAAGGTGACTCCCTCTTTCTGCTGTATCTCGTGGATGTAGGCGCTTGGGTCTGGACAACCTTCGGGGTAGCCACTGGCCTCTTGCTTGATCTTGAAGAAATTGTTGACATACTTGGCAAACAGTCCTCCCTCTTGGGTGTCAGGGTCGTAGGTGGCAAGCGTGTCAAAGTGCCAAGCCTCAAAGATGTGAAGCACTTGATAGCCGCACTTTTCAACAGCAAACTGAAGCTCTTTGCTGACGTAGGTACCGATCCATGCCCGGTCTTCATCCCCGTGGGGGCAGGGAGCATCCAACTGCTCTTCAGCACACGTACGGCACAGTGGAAAGAGCAGTTTGCCTTGACACTTGTAAGGAAGAACAGGATGATAGAGGTCGGTGGGTGGCAAGACTCGGCACTGGATCATGCCGTGGAGCTCAAACAAGTCAGACACGGGAGGATGATCTTTGATCTCGGGATGTCCCACGGGAAAAGTCCCATACTTGCAGATGTAAGGGTACAGCGAACAAACGTCCACATATTTGATTTCTTCATCTTCTTTGGCTTCATAGTACAGTTTGGTGGCGTTGGTACGACCTCCAAAGAAAGCATCTCTAGGATTCAACGGGTCAGGCATGTAGGCATGGGGTCCTTGCAGGGTAGTCAGGAAGGCTCTCAGATCACCGTTGTCTTTCTGTTGTTTCAGAAAATCACATTCCCAGAGGGTCACCACTTGGCCGATGTCGGGATGTTGGCGTAACACACCCAGTCGGTACATGGTATGATGGTATCGTTCCCAAGGGGTGGTACCCAAGCTAGTATGGCGTTCACATCGGTCCGTCTTGTAACAGCGAGTACATCCATGCCAGAAACAGCCCAAGTATTCGTACACGGTGCGTGTCTTGGCGTCGTAGCCATCTGCCATGTAACGACTTCCGTCAGCACAGTCAAAGCCTACTTCTCCACCATTCCGAGCATGTTGGATGTGAACCCCAGGGTGTTGATGCATGACCCAGTTGAGCCAGTGGAGACACTGAAGCGAGTAGCGACGCTGGGGACGATAACCTTGAGTAGGTAGGATGGCGATGGTGCGGGGTTCCAAAAACTGTTTTCGGAAGGTGAGCATGCAAGCCATGGGTAGAGTCACTGCTTCATAGAAAGGGTCCACGTTGTTCTGTTGGATGAATATGTTGCGGAATGCAGCACAGCCTCGACGCAAAATGTCCACATCACTCTGACAGTAAGTCAACAATTCTTCATCCAGATCAAACACAGTCCCTTCAGCCACCCGTGCATCGTACCAGGCCAAGAAAGCTTTGCGTTCGGCAGAAAACATACTGTCAGGATCGTAGGTAGACACGGGAGGATAAGGACCCACATAGCCTTGGTGAGCTTCGGTGTTGAAGAAGTGAGGGAAGTAGCCTTTCTTGAGTTCCGTCAATGCAAACGTTTTTGGAAACTGCTTCAGAGCCATCGTGAGGAAGTTGAGGGAATCCTTGAAAACAAGACGTCCCACGGTCATTTGCAAGATGTGATTCCCTCGAAGTGTGACCTGGGGTGCTTTCACGAGATGTTGATGGAAGTACTGTTGGAGCAAGTGTCCATCATACCCTCGGTAGTTGTGAGCAATGACCAACACGTCGTCATCATCAATGGTAGGAGAAATGTCATCTTCGTCGTCTTGTTCTTTGTCGTCGTTGTCTTGTTGTTCTACATCATCATCATCGGGTTCTGGTGATGACAGTTTGGGTTGTTTCGAGGCACGGCCTGACGGCTGCTGTTGCTGGGATGCCTTACGTTTCTTCTTCTGCTTCTCTTTCTTTTCCGCCAGACGCATCAGCCAGTCGCCCATGTCCTTCAAGGTCGTAGATCCCCCGAAACACTTTGATGCGGCTAGGCCCTTCTCCTTCCTTACGCCAGGGACACTTGTCACACAACTGATCCGAGGCCTCGGAAATACATTTTCCACATCCCAGATGCACCACACACAAGTTGGGAACATGAGTCCCTTGATCTTGGGTACATTCAAAGTCGTAGAAGATGAACTGACGCTGTTGCCGTTCTTTGTCT